GGGTCGAGGCAGGCAGGGAGCAGAGGGGGTTGGATGGGTCGGGAGTTCTGGGGGTCCTGTTAGGGGGCGGGGGGCAGTTGGATAGGGCATGGGAGTCCCCGGGGGTCTGTCTGGGGGCGGGGGTGTGAATATGGGGTGGGGGTGTGGATAAGGGTCGGGGCAGTCAAGGGACAGGTAGGGTTGTAGGGGGCAGGTTCTCAGGAGGGGGCAGTCAGGGGACAAGAAGCAGGGCGGCTTAGATAGGGGGTGGGGTCCCAGGAGGGGGCAGTCAGGGGACAAGGAGCGGGGGGGGGGTTGGGGGTTCTGAGGGGGGCAATCAGGGGTAGGAAGTGGGAGGGAGTGGATGGGGCGGGGCAGGGGCGGGGCTAGAGCAGGGCCCCTCCCCCCCAGTGTCCTCTTTTTTGCTTGTGGAAATATGGTAACCCTACGCTCTGGGACCCTGGGAGGTGCACAGGGGCAGCAAGTGGGAGCCGGGGGACACTCGGAGGAGACACGGGGAGGTGGCAGGTGGGGCCGGGGGAGAGTCCCAGCCCCAAACATTGGTGGAGCCAGGCCCCCGGGCCCTGAATATTGGTGAAGCCCGGGCACCATGGGCCCATACAACTCGCCGCCCCTGCTCACAGCTGAGGGGCTAATAGGTTGTGCGGGTTGGTTCCTCTCCAATTCCCTCTTATCACCACATGGCCTGAATAGGAATCCCTGTCCCTTTGCACTTTTAGCTTGACTGAGTATGTGACCTTGTCCGTTTGCGTAGGTAGTTGTATATAGTTGTTGCTAGTGTATATAGTAGTTATTGATTAATTAATTAGTAAGTAAGTTAGCATTAGTTTCTCTCTGTTCGGGGACCTTTCTTCCCCTGGGACTATGCCCCGCATTCTGGGGTTTAAGAACGGAGTTTCCTGCCCGTGCTCATTCTCTGTGAGCGACAAGCATCAGAGGTGCCTTTACTGCCTCGACGAGGCCCACATCGCAGCTTGTTGCTCCATCTGTAAGTCTTTCCCGCCCCACACCTGGGAAGCTCGGGAGCTTCGCCTCCGTAAACTTGGGTTCATTCCCAGCAGAGTACTGAGGAAACATGAGCTTCCCTCCTGAAAAAGCTGTGTGAAATGTGCTTTCAGCATCTGTCCAAACCCCCTAACGCCTACTCTTCTCTGTCTCAGACAAAGGGCTGCATGTGGAGGTACGAGTGAACAAGGAATGGTTCACAGGCCGTGTCACGGCTGTGGAGATGGGCAAGCATGCCATACGCTGGAAGGTGAAATTCGATTACGTACCTACAGACACCACACCAAGAGATCGCTGGTAATTAACCATTATCTTTGGCTGCGGGAGCTCTGGAGATGCTCCCCCTTCAACAGGGAGGAGAGGGGGGACCCTGTTATATTTTCACAGGTGCTGAAGAGAGGAATAATCCGTTCTTACGTTGGGAAGGTTGTGTACACGGGAATGTTTGGAGAAAGCTGCTCTGTGATTGTGAAGGGAACAGGCATCTGTATGTAGGGGGTGGCTCTGGAAGAAGCGGTGTAATCTAGGAGCTGTTGTCAGAGTGACAGGGTCTGGCTAGTCTGGAGAAGGCTGTATGTGACTCCCTGCTACCCCCCTAGGGTAGAGAAGGACAGTGAGGATGTACGGTTGATGAAGCCTCCCTCTCCAGAGCATCAGAGTCCAGACACACAGCAGGAAGAAGAGGAGGTTGCAGCTGAGCCTTCTACCTCAGACTGTGCCCGAATTGAGCCAGACACCACCGGTCCCAGCAGCAACCAGGAGACTGTGGATTTGCTAGTCCAGACACTCCGGTGGGTTTATTTGGTGCTCACAGCAGTTACCATTTCTGAGCATTTCAATCTCCAAACAAGACTTTAAACGCTACCTGTGGGTGCTTGTTTTCTCTTGGGTAGGAATTGTTTGCGGTACTTCTTACCTCCAAATTTTCCCATCTCCAAGAAGGAGCTGAGTTCCATGAGTTCAGAAGAATTGATGGCTTTTCCTCTGGTGAGTTCAGTGCTTCTCTTTTACTCTAAACTTGTGCTGGGTCTACAAATGGAAAATTTTCAGATCCTGGGTTTCTCTGCTTTGGGAATAGAGGGGTCAAATGGATGTTTCTGGAGTGTTCATCCTCCTGAGGAAATGTGAACGCAACGTTTATTTTACCAAATCATCGCTCTTCAGAGAAGATCTGTTGGGATGCCAAATGATGAATGATCATGGAGTTCTGCTGATTTCTCCCCCTCCTCATCCCTCTGTCAGCGGATGCAGTGTGAGCCAGCAAGTGCCTCTTTTGATCCACTGAGGGTCATGCTGCCCAGGTTTAGAAATGCTAGGACTTTGTTGTCACAAGGTAACCTTAACTAGCCTGTGAAACAAAGCTTTCGGTTTTATTACTGGATTTTCTCAGGGGTTTTCCATCCATCTTTCTTCTTTTTTTTTTAATCAGGTAAATGAAGGCACAGTTTGTATAATGTAAAACAAATGGGATGGATAGTGATCAGATGCTGATGTCCTTTGCTAGGCAAATCGACTTCATATTAGCTCTGCCTGGATGCTTCTACCAGTAAACCAGGGAGGAAACTACAATGGAGTGGTGGGAGCAGGGTGTGTGGGACTTCTATGGCTGCAGAGTGAGGAAGGATACATGTTAGAGTCCATTTCTGAGCTTTGGGCTTTGCTCTTGGAGGAACAGGACAGCCTATCTGTCTGCTAACTTTCTATGGTAAAATCCAGAAATGAACAGTGTAACTGGTGACTCTTTCTATTGTTTCCCAGGCAGTATCAGAGGTCGGCATCTGGAGTTCCCTTCATTACTATGGGCAGATTGCAGCTGTTGGGGGAATTCTGCTGGGGGTGGGGCTTTGGTGTTGCTTGATCTTGCCACTTGTCACAGCGTATTGACTCACTTTTTTGTCTACCCACAGAAAGAATATTTCAAACAGTACGAGATGGGTCTGCAGAACTTGTGCAATTCCTATCAGACTCGTGCTGACGCCCGGGCCAAAGCCTGTGAGGAAAACCTCCGCAGCTCAGAGAGAAAACTTAAGGAAACAGAGGAGAAACTGCAGAAGCTGAGGACTAATATTGTGGCACTTCTGCAGAAAGTGCAGGAGGTGGGTGAGACCCCAGGTGCAGACTAGAATTACTGAGTGCCACTGGATTGGGACCAGCTGAGATACTGGGGAAAGTTAGGACTTCACTTAGTCCACGACTTGATTACATTCCAGCTTTGTCTTTGGTCCTCAGTAACTCAGTGTTCTGTGTTGCAGGTGGGGTTAAATTCCCAGAGCCTGATTCTTCACTGCCTTATAACTTGTGTGTGGGTGCGTGATGCTGCCCTTTGCGTGACTGAGTGGGGAGTTCTGGTTTACACCCCACTGTCCTCAGGTGTCAATGACTATACCAACAGCTAGGCAGAGGAGAAACATCCCTTGACTTTGGCTTTCTGTGTCACCAGGGACCATGTGTGTAGAAGAAGCTCTGTGCTCTGCTCCTGGGGAGAGGGAGTGCTTCATATGTCTCAGTAGCAATCCTTGGGACTGGTTAAGAAGTGGTGATGTGCTCTGGAGAGAATTTCTGCCCAGTTCTAAAGCAGGACGGTGTCTGATGTGGAAACTTGAGTGTAGAGTTGTAAGGTGGGAGGGGAGCATCAGGGCTTCAATGGGGTTTGGGGCCTGGTTGGCTATTAATGAGGCCACAGCTAGGAAAGCTGGCAGTACTACCGGTAAGTATTCATCTGCAGTGTAAACGTGTGAAGTTCTTCACTCCTGGAATAACAATGAGTCCTGCAGGCCGGGCTTGAGGGGGATTGACAGGAATGTTATGGCAAGGGTTGCTGCAGAGTCGTCTGAAGAGAGAGATCACAGCATTTCTCTCCCTGCTTCCCATCCCCTGCCCCTGATGTATCTGCCGTAACATCTCTTCTTCTTCAAGTGATGGTCCCGATTGTATTCCACTGAGGGTTTACGTATGTGCCATGCATCCGGAGCTAGAGAATTTGAAAGTGGTGGTGTCAGTTGGCCCACACATGCGCCCTTGCTTTGCCTTATGGTTTTGTCTGAGGTGACAAAGGGCGAGGCAAACTGACCACATCTCCAGTTCCTTCTCACCGCCACTTGGTCTGAGTCATACCTACTTAAAAAAAAAAAAAAAAAGTCAGAATTTTACATAGTTGGTTTTAGCCTAATTTTTGCTGTTTTTACTGTAGTTTGGTGTCTAGTAGAAGTTTTTAGGCGATAAGAGACTTTGGGAAATCCATTTACCTGTCTCTCCACCCCAACCCAGCACCCATACCTGTACTGGATTATATTGAAGATGCCAGGGTTTAAGGTCTGCGCCTCCTGCCCATGCTTGTTCTCAGTCAGCAGCGAGCAACAACGCTGCCTCTACTGCTTGGGAGAAGCCCACATTTCATCTAGGTGTAGTATCTGCTTGTCCTTCCCAAGCTGTAACCAGGAAGGCGGGCTCTCTGCCTCAAGAAGCACCTCATGGAGGTCTGCATGCAGCTGCAGTGAGATCCAGGCCAGGGCACCCCCACTGTACATCAGCCTGAGAAACCCAAGAACGTGTCTCTGACCACGGAGATCGAGTCCAGTTCTGCTGGTACCAGTACTACGGACCCCATGCTGGGGTCTACTCTAGAGGCAAGGAAGCAAAAGTTAGATGCCTGCAAGTCACCAGGGCCTGATGAAATGCATCCTAGAATACTCAAGAAGCTAATAGAGGAGGTATCTGAGCCTCTAGCTATTATCTTTGGAAAATCATGGGAGGCGGGAGAGATTCCAGAAGACTGGAAAAGGGCAAATATAGTGCCCATCTATAAAAAGGGAAATAAAAACAACCCAGGAAACTACAGACCAGTTAGTTTAACTTCTGTGCCAGGGAAGATAATGGAGCAAGTAATTAAGGAAATCATCTGCAAACACTTGGAAGGTGGTAAGGTGATAGGGAACAGCCAGCATGGATTTGTAAAGAACAAATCATGTCAAACCAATCTGATAGCTTTCTTTGATAGGATAACGAGTCTTGTGGATAAGGGAGAAGCTGTGGATGTGGTATACCTAGACTTTAGTAAGGCATTTGATACGGTCTCGCATGATATTCTTATCAATAAACTAGGCAAATACAATTTAGATGGAGCTACTATAAGGTGGGTGCATAACTGGCTGGATAACCGTACTCAGAGAGTTGTTATTAATGGTTCCCAATCCTGCTGGAAAAGCATAACGAGTGGGGTTCCGCAGGGGTCTGTTTTGGGACTGGCTCTGTTCAATATCTTCATTAATGACTTAGATATTGGCATAGAAAGTACGCTTATTAAGTTTGCGGATGATACCAAACTGGGAGGGATTGCAACTGCTTTGGAGGACAGGGTCATAATTCAAAATGATCTGGACAAATTGGAGAAATGGTCTGAGGTAAACAGGATGAAGTTTAACAAAGACAAATGCAAAGTGCTCCACTTAGGAAGGAACAATCAGTTTCACACATACAGAATGGGAAGAGACTGTCTAGGAAGGAGTACGGCAGAAAGGGATCTGGGGGTTATAGTGGACCACAAGCTAAATAAGAGTTAACGGTGTGATGCTGTTGCAAAAAAAGCAAACATGATTCTGAGATGTATTAACAGATGTGTTGTGAGCAAGACACGAGAAGTCATTCTTCCGCTCTACTCTGCTCTGGTTAGGCCTCAGCTGGAGTATTGTGTCCAGTTCTGGGCACCGCATTTCAAGAAAGATGTAGAGAAATTGGAAAGGGTCCAGAGAAGAGCAACAAGAATAATTAAAGGTCTTGAGAACATGACCTATGAAGGAAGGCTGAAAGCATTGGGTTTGTTTAGTTTGGAAAAGAGAAGACTGAGAGGGGACGTGATAGCAGTTTTCAGGTATCTAAAAGGGTGTCATAAGGAGGAGGGAGAAAACTTGTTCACCTTAGCCTCTTAAGGATAGAACAAGAAGCAATGGGCTTAAACTGCAGCAAGGGAGGTCTAGGTTGGACATTAGGAAAAAGTTCCTAACTGTCAGGGTGGTTAAACACTGGAATAAATTGCCTAGGGAGGTTGTGGAATCTCCATCTCTGGAGATATTTAAGAGTAGGTTAGATAAATGTCTATCAGGGATGGTCTAGACAGTATTTGGTCCTGCCATGCGGGCAGGGGACCGGACTCGATGACCTCTCGAGGTCCCTTCCAGTCCTAGAATCTATGAATATGCCATATGCACAGCAGTAAGTCTTCCTCCAGGCCCAAGGAGGAGGATGCACCCTCCACGAGTTCCAGCCATGGAGAAGCAGTGCGTTCCCAGGCTCACAAGCATGACAAGAAATCACACAGGCCAGTGGATCGGCCAGTACCGAGCATCGAGATGCACACACCTTCCAAGTCAGCCTGCCCTAAGTCAAGGGAACTGGCGGCTTTGAAACAGTCCTCCGCTCCAGCTCCGCTTCCAGCTACAGAGCACATGCCACTGACTCTGGAGAGGTTGGAGATGGCGCCTGGGCCTCATGAACGGTTTGCTATAGGGGAAGCGAGGTCCCTAAGCCTTCCTCTACAGTCTGTGCGTAGGGAGGTACAATCTCCAACCCAGACTTAACTCAGTCGAATTGTGCTTCTATCCTTTCCCCTATGGTTTATAGCAGGGGTTCTCAACCTTTTTCTTTCTGATGCCCCCACAACATGCTACAAAATCTCCACGGGCCACTTGTACCACAACAGTTGTTTTTCTCCATATAAAATCTGTGGCTGGCATTAAGAGGTAGGAAGCAGGGTAATTGCCCGGTGGTAATTGTCCAGGCCACCGCAAAACTAAGTTGCTCAGGTGTCAGCTTCAGCCCCGGGTGCTGGAGCTCAGGGCCCCGGGCTGCAGTCCTCCATGGTGGGGCTTCAGCTTTCTGCTCTGGGCCCTAGCAAGTCTAACGCCAGCCATGCTTGGCGGACCCCCCCAAACCAGCTTGCGGCCCTCCAGGGGGCCCCGGACCCTGGGTGGGAACCACTGGTTTATAGGGTTCCAACAATACCACCTTTGGAACCGAAATCCTAGTTTTCTTCATCAGAGGATTTGGATGGAGCACAAGGGCCACCCATCCGCTACTGCCACTACAAGTTACCCAAAGGGGCTTCGAGCTTCGTAGCAGTACCCTCCTCTCCCCCAGCAGAGAAGCCACTAGTAACCCACTCCATGGGGCCCTCTGCAGCATCTGCTGGATCCATCCTGTTGGCCGCACTGGGGGTCCTGGCCTCAATATCCACCTTCAGAATCTTCCCGTTCAGCAAGAGAGGGTTTGACCCTATCCCCACTTCAGGAACATAACTACAACAGTAAATGTCGAAAAATCAACTCTGGTTCCTACACAGTCCCTGGATTTCATAGGGGCCTCCATCAGCATGGTCTCAACATGAGCCTACTTACCAAGGGACAGGTCCCAGACCGTGCAGGAACTCGTCACCTGAGTAGTCAACGGTCCTTCTGTTCCGGACAGGAATTGCCTATCCCTCCTTGGCCACATAGCAGCTTGCACATATGTCATCACCTTCACTCACCTTCGACTTGGCCATCTTTAGCTGTGGCTCCAGAAGGTCTATTCACCCACGCGACATACTATGGACTTTCTGCTGTCAGCCCCCCCCCCCCCCCCCCCCCCGAGGTGCTTTCCTCCCTCCAGTGGTGGATGGACCTGAGCCAGGACTGCACCGGGATGCCTTTCCTCCCATCCTTCCTGGACACAATGATCATCACGAACACATCACTCGCCAGATGGGGTGCCCACATGGGCGAGCACATGATGCAAAGGTCTTGAACCCCTCGGGAATCTAGAATGCACATCAATATCCTGGAGCTTCAGGTGGTATGGAGAGAGTCTCGCATTTCTTCCATCCATTCACTCTCATCATGTTCTCATCGTGTCTGACTACACCACCACCATTTATTACATCATCTAACGAGGGGGCATGAGGTCAATTACAGTCTGTGTGGAAGCGGTTCATCTATGGGATTGGTGCATTGCCCATAAGATCCTGTTGTCAGCAGCCTATCTTCTGGGGACTCAGAACATGACTGTGGACTCTCTCCGCAGCAAATACGTAGTCGATCACGATTGGGAGCTTCACAACACTGTAGTTAACGACATTTTCAGCCTATGGGGGACTCCAACCAGGGACCTCCTTGCCTCCCACACTAACAGCAAGTGCAGGAGGTACTGTTCCGGGGGGGCTCTGAACCCATTCCCAAGGCGATGCCCTTGTCCTCCACTGGTCAGACCGGATCAATTACACCTTTCCCCCTCTACTACTGCTGCCACAAGTCCCCCACAAGTTCAGAAGGGAGAAGACCACAATTATTCTGATCACCCCTTTCTGGCCAGGCCCTGTTCTGGTTTCCCCACCTTCTTCTCCTGTCAGCTTCTCCCCTGCTTCCTCTGCCAACTTTCCTGGAGCTGCTCACGCAACACGGCAGCAGGATCAGGCATCCTGATCCACAGATACTTCACCTCAGAGCTTGGTTTTTGGCTGGGCATCTTTGCTAGAATGGGAATGTTGGTTGGCAATACATCATTGGAAATTTTTAAGAGCAGGTTAGACAAACACCTGTCAGGGATGGTCTAGATAATACTTAGTCCTGCTGTGAGTGCTGGGCACTGGACTAGATGATCTCTCGAGGCCCTTTCAGTCCTATAATTCTAAGACATCCTCTCAAGCAGTAGGAAAGAGTCCACAAGGTAGGTATTCCTAGTGGGCCAAGTGGAAGCGCTACACCACCTGGGCCCAACAGAGGGGCCTTGTCCCTGAGGACTTCCCTGTCTTTTGGACTACCTCCTCTTCTTAGTGCCTTCCATCCCCCCCCCTCCCCCCCACTTCCCCCGTGGAAGAGCACTCCCTATTTACGCATCTGTTGACTACCAGGTTTTGAAAGGGTCTCCTCAGAACCTTCCCCACCCATTCAACTTATTGCTCCCCAATGGGACCTCTACCTTGTTCTGTTGACATTTAATGAAATTGCCCTTTGAGCCACTGGCTTCATGTCCCCTGTCCCTCCTTTCCGTGCCTTCCTGGGGCTATTACTTCCCGTGAGACGGATCAGTGAACTGGGGCAATGATGGCGGACCCCCCTTTCACTGTGTTCCATAGTGACACAGTTGCCCTGTGCCAGCATCCCAAGTTTCTGCAAAGATTGTTTCTTGCTTTCATCTCAACCAACCCATACACTTATCTGCTTTCTTGCCGAAGCCTTATGCCTCAGCAGCGGAGCGGCGCCTTCACTCCCTCAACCTCCTCAGGGCCTTGGCCTTCTACCTGCAGAGGACGAGTCCATTGAGGAAGTCCCCTAGACTGTTTATTGCTGTCACTGAAAGGATTAAGGGGCAGGCAATCTCCACACAGAGGATGTCTAAGTGGATTTCGGGGTGCATTATGCTCTGCTGTTGGTTATTGGGACAGCCTCCACTCCTTGGGGGGAGAGCCCATTCCACAAGAGCTCAAGCATCTACTATGGTCACCCTTCACAATGTACCGCTTTCAGACATATGCAGGGCAGCCATGTGGAGTTCAGTACGAACCTTCCTTGCTCATTACACTTTGGTGCAAAACTCTGGGAGGGATGCCTTGTTCGGCACAGCTTCTTCCAGTCCACCATTCCATCCTCTTCCTTGCACCCTCCTCCAAATTAGGTACTGCTTGTTAATCACCCTCAGTGGAATACAGTAGGGACCATCGCTCGAAGAAGGGGAGGAGATTACTTACCTGCAACTGGAGGTTCTTCGAGATGTGTGCTCCCTATCTGTATTCCACTTCCCACCCTCCTTTCCCTCTGCTGCGAATCTGTTCAGTTTGTGGTGGTGAAGGAACTGAGGCTGTGGTCAGTCCGCCCTGCCTTTTATTGCCTTGGACAAACCATGAGGCGAAGCAAGGGCAGATGTGCATACCAGCGAACACTAATACTTTCAAATTCTTGGCTCTGGACACATGGCGCATGTGTAAACCCTCAGTGGACTACAGATAAGAGACCATACATCTCGAAGAACCTCCCGTTACAGGTAAGTAACCTCCTCTTGCGCCTTTGGTTTCAGGACATCGATATTAATACTGATGATGAGCTGGATGCATATATTGAGGACCTGATCACCAAGGGAGACTGAGCAGCACTGGCAAGCAGCATGGAGGAGTTGGTCCCTGTGATCTCGGAGATGTGGAGTCCTGCAGTGGAGGGGACCCGAGCAGCGCATGAAAGGGGAGGGCCGTTCGACTGTGTATTATATTGATGTGTCGGTGTACAACCTGTTCTTGTGATTTTACATGCAAAAGACATGGGTGCTGTTGGCAGGACAGTTTTTAACATTGTAGTTCCTCAAATCTCTTCCCTTTGTTTATAAATATTTATTTTTTAAAAGAAACAGGAACTGTGCCTGGTATGACGGGAGGTCAGCTGTGTTGTTGGTTTTTTTTTTTTTTTTTTTAAGTACAGTAAAAATGCAAGAACCTTTTTCCTTTTGGGGTATGCTGGAGATCTATGCCCAGTTCTTGGCACCAGAACATCCTATCCAGCACCTTGTAGCTGATGCCTCTTCAGATAAAGAAGGGAAAAATCTAGCAACAACTTAATGGAAACGTCTATTCTGAGGCCTCGAGGCACTGAGCAGAAGCTGGATGAGACTTGGACCTCAGGACTATGGTAACTGGGCCAAAGGAGGCTCCGAGCCAGGGCTTCTAACTACACAAAGGGATCGGCGCACACATTCTCCATTCATGGGGTGGGGTTTGAACCTTAAGGACTCTGTAGCTGAGCATGGATGAGAGGTTTTCAGAGCCCTCATTATACAGCCATAGCATCAAACATGGGCAATGGGGCTCTGTTAACAGGCCCAGGAAGCTTAGACCCACTGATGCTTTAATGTGGGGGGCGGGGAAGAGGCTCACAGTGAGGAGACTGAGCCTGCTGGGGTCCTGGTATCTTGTGATTTCTCAGCGCAGGGAAGTGCGAGGGTTGGAGTGCAAGGTTCTTACCACTTCTACAGCCCCTATTCGTCACCCGGGCTGCCATTGTGTGAGATGTGAGTTGCAAGGGGCAGATGGACTCCCTGACCAGCTCAAAATAAAGCTGACCCTGTGTTCTAAGTGCCACTCCCTCGGCTCTTTCTTGCTTTGCTCCACTTGGACTCTTCCAGTTGTTTTTAAACAGAGCACTGGAAATGGAGCCGTTCCCCTTTTAGTTGCTGGATTGCACCCAGCCCCAGCTCAGCAGCAAGGAAGAGCCCTAGCCTCTCTAATGCGGGGGTTGGAGGCTGTATTTAAAAGTGGTTCTCAACCAGAGGTCTAGTACCCCCTGGGGGACCACAAGAAGGCTTCAGGGGGTCTGCCAAGCAGGGCCAGTGTTAGCCGCGCTGAAGCCTGGGACACAAAGCTATAGCCCCACCTCATAGGGCTGAAGCCCTGCCCACCGGGGCTGAAGATGAAGCCTGAGCATCTTAGCTTCATCGGGCCCAGGTGGCCCCTGCAGTTTTTAGAGCATGTTCCCAGGGGCCTTAGAAAGGAAAAGGTTGAGAACCCCTGTGGTGGGGGCCAGGGTCTGTCACAGAGGGGGCACCCCAGGCATGCTGGTAGTGTGTTGATGCAATAGCCATCAGTGCTCACTAAGCCTCATCACTCCTCTTCGCTCTGTGCCAAAACTGCTCTAGGAAATGCAAATAGTGTTAACAGAAAAGCTCTTGGCATAGGCACTGGCATTCTAGCAGGAGCGGCGTGCTCAAGGTGACCTCTTCCTACAAGCAAAAACTCAAGGAGGGAGCTTGTGTTATAACTCTCAGATCACTGAGAAGTGTGTCAACTCCCAACATATTCAGCCTCCCTCTCCTGCACCCTCACCCTACTCCAGAAACCTCAAGTGTTTGGCCTCAGTAGGCACTGCTGCAATACAAATCATTGGAGGGCCATAATTTTCCTAACTAGGGGAGAGGGATAGCTCCGTGGTTTGAGCATTGGCCTGCTAAACCCAGGGTTGCGAGTTCAATCCTTGAGGGCGCCACTTAGGGATCTGGGGCAAAAAAATCAGTATTTGGTCCTGCTAGTGAAGGCAGGGGGCTGGACTCTGACCTTTCAGGGTCCCTTCCAGTTCTAGGAGATAGGCATATCTCCATATATTATTATTACCAGCTACTTCCTGCTGAGCAAACTACTGTTCTAATGGCCTTATGTCCTGTAGCAAACAGGAGCAGGATGTACTGCCCTGATCAGACTCTCCACTGCGATTCCAGTAATAAAGCCTACGGGCCCCTCATCCAACAGTTCCAACAGCTGGACAATGCTAAAAGGATGTCAGCACCAGAAACCTCCCCAGGGAAAGTACTCAAAACCAGCAGATATTAACAAGGCCTGTAAATAATATGAGGCTAACGCTGTGGCTCTGTGAAGCTGAGGGATCCCTTGCATTAGGGAAAATTAAAGCTTTTGTTTGGTGGAGGGAGGATTTGGGGACACAACCAAACACAGCCTGGATTGCTGAGGAATGCACAGAGCAATATCCAAGAGATGCAGAGCCCTCTGACCCCCCCCAGCTGTTAGAAATGTCCAAGCAAATACTAGGAAAAATGTTTTCCCCTGGCGTAGAGGAGGTTCTGCCAAACCAGAAAGGGAACAAGAGATCCCTCCATAGGGTCGGCTACTCAAACCCCACTAAAACCTGAGCCCTCACCAATTCGTTTCTGAAGAGTCATAAAGAGTTAAACTCATGTAAACCGATGACCCATGGTGAAAGGAAGAAGCATCTGTGTGCTGCTTTGGTCTCCTGGGACCATAGCCATTGCTTTCACAGTTGGTGGCCTGGATCCTCTGCCCTTTGGGTAGGTTAAAAACTAGCTCAGAGGTCAAAGCTGAGTGAATGCTGCATGCTGGAGTAGGGGGACTAGTGCTGCTAGTGGCAAAGATAGGGGAGCCTTCAAAACCCTGGCGGCTCCTAGAGAGTAGTCACTAGTGTGGGGTCTCCACTAACCGTGGGGGTGCTCTAGACAAGTACTCACCCTGGACTTTCTGCACTATGCCTGGCTGGGAGAGCTCCCCTGGGCATCTCAGCTCCCTGCACTATAACCTCCAGCCTCCCTCCTGTACAGCTTCTTATACCGCCTTCAGCCTCGTGTCCCAGCGCCTTCTCGTGGTGCATGGAGCAATCTGACTGACAGCTGTCAGGTTTGCCCCCTCCCTCACACACACTCCCCTCAGCTCCTGGACATACCCGCAATGCACTGAGCCACCGGGCTTACCGAGGACCTAACATTACAGTAGAACCTCAGAGTTACCAACTGATTGGTCCACCAGACACCTCATTTGGAACCGGAAGTACACAATCAGGCAGCAGCAGCACCAAAGAAAGCAACTACAGCGCAGTAATGTGTTAGGTGTAAACTACTACAAAATAAAGGGAAACTTATAAATAGGATTTGACAAGGTGAGGAAACTGTCTGTGCTTGTTTCATTTAAATTAAGATGATTAAAAGCAGATTTTTCTTCTGCATAGTAAAGTTTCAAAGCTGTATTCAGTCATTGTTCAGTTGTAAACTTTTGAAAGCGTATTTTGTTCAGAGTTACAAACAACCTCCATTCCCGCTGGCGTTCGTAACTGAGCTTCTACTGTACCCAAAACACCAAGCAGCTGTTGTGAGAAAGCGGCCAGCAGGTGGCGCCCAAGGCAAGAAGTAGCATTACTCGACCCCCTGACCAGGAATTTACTGAAGGTGGAGGACTGAGCTTTTACCCAGAGCGCTTCTGCACCAGCCGTTTTCACACAGACTCCGATTTTAAGGCCAGAAGGGGACCATGACGATCATCGTCTGACCCCCTGCACCTGGCAGGCCACAGAACCTTCCCCACCCACTCCTGGAATCAGGGTCGGCTTTAGGAAGTGCGGGGCCCAATTCAAACATTTTTGGCGGGGCCCCGACAGGGATGACTTAAAAAAAAAAAAAAAAAAACGTAAAAAACCACCTTTCGTTTCTTCCATGTATTATTTACTTTCCATAACTATATAAATAATAACAAAATTATCTATTACATACATTGCGTAATGTATGCGGATGCATGCTAACCCTACCTAAAGTTCTTGACGCCCCCTCCCCCCGGGACCCCTGCCCCACCTGTCCCCTGACTGCCCCCTGCCGCCCCATCTAACCCCTCCTCTCATTCCTGATGGCCCCCTGGGACCCCTACCCCATCCAACCACCCCTTCTCTCCCCGACTGCCCCTGGAACCCCTGCCCCTGACTGCCCCCACCGTCCCATCCAACCCCTGCTCCTTCCTGATTGCCCCCCTGGGACCCTTGCCCCCATTCAATCCCCCTGTTCCCTGCCCTCTGACCACCCTGACCCCTATCCACCCCGCCCACAACCCCCCGAACTCCCCTGCCTTCTTCCAACACCCCCTTACCGTGCTGCCTGGAGCCGCTCGGCCGGGTCCGGGTCCACTCGGGCCGGGTCCTGTCTGGAGCCACTCAGCCAGGTCAGGGTCCGGGCCGGGTCCGCTCGGGCCAGGCCAGGGCCGGGCCGGAGCCGCTCGGCCGGGGCCGAGACTGGCGCCACGGAGCCCGAGCCAGGCTGGAGCTGCTCAGCCGGGACCGGGCTGGGGCTGTGGGCGTTCAGACGGGGCCAGGCCGGAGGGAGCCGCGCGCTCAGCTAGGGCTGGACTGGGCCACGCCGCGCCTCCCTGGAACCGTTCTCGCGGGACCCCATTAAGGGGAATCGGCCTAAAGCTGGCCCTGCCTGGTATAGACCCCTGAGCTCTGCCTGAGTTACTAAAGGCCTCAAATCCTGATTTAAAGAGTTCATGTGACAGAGACTCTGCCATTTACACTGCAAGTGACCTGGGCCCCACGCTGCAGAGGAAGGCCAAAAAACCCAGTGTCTCTGCCAGTCTGAGCCAGGAGAAGATTCCTGACCCCAAATATGGCCATCAGTTAAACCCTGAGCATATAGGCAAGCCGTGGTTGGCTGGTCTAGAGGGTGCAGCAGAAGGGAGGGAGGAAGGGACTGGCGGGTGGGTGAGGATCCAGTGCCTCTGCCTGGGTGTGGTAGTTTTCAAGTAAATATAGTGCTGAGGACATTTCAGCCTAGCAGCCCTGGTGACTGGACGCTGAGCCACCCCGGGAAGCAGCAGT